TTTTCTGCCATTTATCCTATGGTGGCGCTCGTGATGTTGATTACAGCCTGAATGCGGCAACTAGCAGTCCATGATTATATAGTCAAAGGTCTCTGACACGTGCTGTAAGAACAGCGGAGTTTACATCAAGGTATATAGAAGTCTGTGGGAAAGATTGTAGAGAAAGAAAAAGGCCTGGTTGGGTGTTTTGAGGCTTTCCTTGGAAAACATCAGTTCGCAACTTACGCTTTGTGTCCAGTCTTAGGATCAAGTCATAAAAGAGGAGAAGAAGAAAAAGAAGAAGAAGAAGCAGCAACAATTTACGGTTGATTATTTTCAGGTATTTTTTTGGGGGGGGGGATATTGCTCTCAGTTAGGGAGCTGATTCGCATCTTTAACTTTTCCATTGATTTGTGTGTGTAGTGAGTTCCGTCTGGGCCGTCGAGCGGTTCACACGTCTTCCGACGGAAGATAAATTTTTGATCCTGCGGGATTGCATCATCCCGCGCGTGGCCCGGTTACCGGGCCATTACATCGTTCAATTCACTACATTCCAAGCAATACCATTAAATCTATTGGTTCGACGTGGCCGTGTCGGCTCAGTGTCTGTGAGCCGGGAGCCAATAACCAGAGAAGAAGAAGATGTGTGTTGCAGTTATTCTCAGCAGATATCCAAGGTAATACTGAAAGAGAGCCTCTCACTCTTCGTTTGTGATAAAAATTCACAGAATCGTGTATTTTGACCTGTAAAACACGAATCTGCAAGTTAAAATCGTCGCTCGGCACTAATAAGACTATAAATTGTTAAAATCTGACAGTTGTGGGGTTAGGATACCTGTCGTACCGATACCAACCGACGCTATACGCGGGAACGGCGCAGACTGACCGAGTATGCATAGTGACGTAATAGTGCGCGAAATTAGAGATATGATGTATATACCGCGTTCATATCCGCTAAATATCCGTTGACCACGAATGATTCTTCTTTTCCGCAAGTGAGCTCTACGCACCCTACCGGCAGGGTAGGTGCGGGGAGGGGGCCGAAAGCCCCCCCCCCCCCGCAACGCACCCCCGCTGTATGTGTGTGTGAGTGTGTGTGTGAGTGTGTGTGTGTCTCATAAAAGTTGTTTGAAAAGTTTGCATTTAGTTAAAGTAGAGAATACTTCGAATGGTATTGAATAGTTTGAGCTTTTCCCAAGGAAAATGAAAAGTCAAAATGACGTCAATTTGATGTCATATTGACCAGATTTGTGTCATATTTTGGTCAATATGACATCAAACTGACGTCATCTTGACTTTTCATTTTTCCTTGGGTTGGTTAAAGCAGAGAATATATTCTGCTCAAACTATTCAATACCATTCGAAGTATTCTCTACTTTAGCTAAATGCATACTTTTTTTTAACAATTTTTATAACACACACACACACAGCGGGGGCGGGTGCGAGAGAGGCCTTTGGTAGGGTGCATGGACCTCACTTGCGTGAAGAAAGAGTTAAGCCTATCACACAATGCCAGGCAACCGGCAACAGGAACAGGGAATAGAATTTCTGACGCGTTGGATTGGTTGGAAGAAAATTTCCGACAAATCCAAAATTTTATTCCCTATTCTTATTGCCTGTTGCCTGGCATTGTATGATAGGCTTTAACATCACAATTCAAATTTCGCGCACTATTACGTCACTACGCATGCTCGGTCAGTCTGCGCCCGTATAGCGTCGGTTGGTGTCGGTACGACAGGTATCCTAACCCCACAACTGTCAGATTTGAACAATTTATAGCTGTCTTATTAGTGCCGGGCGACGATTTTAACTCGCAGATTCGTATTTTACAGGCCAAAATACACGATCCTGTGAATTCATCGCATACGGAGAGTGAGAGGCTCTTCTTCAGTATCACCATATCTAATTCAGGGTTATTTTATTGTTTACTACTTTTATACTACTTTGAGGCTATTTCTTTGTTTACAACCTTGATTATCTCTCCATGCAGCTTCGGATTACGCGAATCATTGCTCGAACCAAACTTCTAAATCGAGTTCCTCCCGATTTAGAGCATTAACCATCGAAAAGAGAGATATTTTTCGTTCTCCGAGAGGTAAGTTACTCTCGCTTGACAAACTCGTGCAGATTATCATTTGGTATCATTTGGTATTTCAAGTTTTATTTTTGAAACTAACAGTGATCAGAGTCTCCTGCTTGCCAAAGACCTTAGACAAGATCAGAGAAAATCACTTGCAATCATATATATTTATTATCAGAGCAAATATATATTTTTGCGCACTTGTCAGAAAAAATGCCGGTTCCTATCGAAAAATCAGCAATTGCACGTGACAATCATAAGGTAGGATAAGATGTGACAGATATATATAAAGGAAACTGCAAAGAAATAAAAGTATATCTTGATCCGAATTAAGTAAAAAAATTGTTTACATCAATTGTAATATCCTACAAATCTTTTTATTTCAGAGCCGCAAGTCTCGAAAGATGGCCAAATTTTGTGAGCATCAAGGTGATATTTATATCAATAATGTTTACACCTTATTTAGAGCAGTGGTACCTTAGAGAAGTTCAATCATTTAACTGTTAAAAATCTTTTAGAGACCATTCCTGCTAGAGCCAAGGCAATAAGAATAAGAAACGTACAAGATCCGTTTATCATAAGGGTTTACGAAAGTGCAAGACACGAAGAGGCCCTCCGTATAATTCAAAACAAGTTATTAAATTTTATTGAAACCGACGATTATTTGAAGAAAGTAAAGTACGATCGGAGAGCGGCCAAAATTGGCGACGTAAGTTTCGTGTTCGCCATATGAATTATAATTGCCCTTGTACTTGATTTTCTCTTATTTGCTTGTTATTTAGTTTAAAAATATGCGGGATAAGCGATGGGTTTGAACCCGAGACCTTGTTATTGTTAGTCGTTCATGCTCGCACAGAGCCACATCATCCCAAGTTATACTCTTGTAATATCTTGTATATAAGCTACGTATCTCACAATGTAAGATACTCTTTACTTTGCAGATGGTTTTTATGGAACTTAACGACACTGCGATAAAATTTCCATCGTGTATTTGCCGCGGTTTAATAACTTACATTGAAGAGGACGGAAAATATTGTATTCTTTTAGTGGATCACGGGACTGTTGTTGAATTGACTAGGGATAAGTTTCATATACTTCCACACGATTTTATCCCTGACAAGTATTTAACGAAGACCGTCGGTGTATTTGGTATCTTACCGATCTGCATGAAAAAGAATGGACTTATTTCAAATGGTTCTAAAGCAGTGTAAGTTTTGTTTCAATTACGGTCGTTGTTTAGTCTCACGAATGTTTAAAGAAATCGCGATTTTGCAAAGTGTTGTAGAAAAGTGGACCAAAGAAGCGATTCAATTTACAAAACGCCTTCTCAGCGCGTTCGAAGTTGTATACTTTGATCATTTAATCACGGACGAAAAGAATGGCAGAGAATATGGCGAATTTTATTTTACCATTGACAACACTGTCATGTCATTAAGTGAAGCCTTATTCATTAATCATCATGCGCTCTATATAGAAGGAGGTGTGTGAATATCTCCGAGTTCTTATTTATAAAAATAGATTTAATAACTTTTGAATAATTTGATTGGTATTTAGATTTGTTGAAGTGTACAGAACTTAAAATTCGAGAACCGGAACAACTTAATAAAAAATGGTACGTTTTACACGTAAAGTTCTCAAGGGATCGAGAAAAAAGGGACAAGGCGACATACGTTAACGAAATTATCGAGTTAAAAACAAAATTTTCTCTCAAGTAAGATTATTTACATACGTATATTGGTTATATGGAAATATTCATGTCTTTTATGCTTTTGCTGACTGTTATCAGTGACAGGATTTTGGTGCACAACTCAATCGACTGTGGTGTTTTGAATGACGTGACAAATCTCAAGTATTCTAAAGGTGTACACGAGGTATATAATTTAGTAAATGGATTTGAGTCGCTAAGAGTGATTAATAAAACGATCAATAGAAATATATTTAAAGTACCTTTTTTTAAGGGTTGGATAAAGATAATTAAGTCTTCCAGACCGATGAAACTTCAATCTTATATATGGCCAGCTATAAACAGTGGATTGAACGTTGTTGCTATCGGACCGTCACAATGTGGTAAAACGAGCGGATGCGTAATGGCTGTTTGTGGTCAGATAGCTACATATCCAAATGTAAAATAACATTATGTTTATACGAATGTTATAGAAAAATTAGATATCTTAATCAGGCTTTTTATCAGGCTTTTCAATCATGGTATAAGCGAACAATTTCTTAATTTACATCGATAAAATCTGCATCTAATTCTATTTTTTCTTACACACTTTTTGTGCATTCTTATATTTGTGTAATTAATATTTATAATTAAAATTGTAGATACATAATTTTTTTAAATCTCACAAAAAACCGCGTAAAAGGGAGCTGAATGTATAAAAAAATCTTTATTAATTGATGTAAATAATACCTGTTTTAGGAAATGAGTAAGGCGACTCATCCGTTGGCGTTAATTTTATGTGCCTCGGCACATGAGGTGATCTCCATTCAATCTTTGTGCGAGTCACTTCTGCGAGAATCTAATAACGTAAGATCCGTCGCAGCATTTAGTGGCAAGTCGGATATATCAATAGCGGTAAATTTATTTATGTCTTTACAAAAATGTTCAGCATTTTTCAACCTTTTCAGTATAATCGTTGATTTAAGTCAACAGCCACTAAAACCCAAGTCAGACTAAGCATGAAGGATTGAGAATTGCAATTTGAAGATTCGAATTTGATCAGTCGGATAAGTTTAATTCATTTCGATCGAATTCTATTTTCAATCATAATCCTCAATCTTCAATATGTAGTCTGATACAGGCAAGCGTTTCTGTACGATTGAGTGTTTGAATATACGTGTTTTAAACATTTCTGCTATTATCCACCAATAAATACAAATTAATTATTTCAGAAAATGTTACAAAAAATATAATTTCTCTGTAATTGTAAATAAATAATATCGTGCTTCCTCGGCCGTTCGATAACGCTAAGCGACAAATAATTATTGTACTGAAAAGGTGAAGAGGAACTGATTATTTAAGAGACAAATTAATGTTTCCTTCTTTCAGGCAACGATATATAACGGCTGCCAAATCTTAGTAACCACGCCGCAATACTTGGTTCGATTTATGAATTCATACAAAACTCTATTGTCATTCGATAGACTTTCTTATTTAGTACTCGATAATGCCGATGTAATTTTGAATAATTATTTCGACTCGGTCAGTGAAACCATTTGTACTCACAATTAATATTACTTGTGACAGAAAATCTCTAAACTGTTTTATTTTCCAATAGTTAATGAAACTCTTCAAGAAGCATAAGGTAATCGAGAATCGTGAACCACGAGGGGACAGTAAACCGATATTACAAATGATTATGTCGGCAACAAACTGGACACTAGAGATTAGGGACTTTGTAATGGCTGCGGTACATAATCCGTGTATATGCATCTCGTCATTTCTAGAAGCTGTTGTCTTCAAGTCCGTATTTCCGAGAGTTAGCATTTTGAAATCTACAGAGAAGAATAAAAAAATATTAGGTAAGCAAACCTATGAGTAAGATATAAAAATTTTGTCGTACCAATGTCGATTAACTATATGCAAGATAGTATATTTTTGAACTGTTTCAATCTAGGCCTATTGAAAGATGATTACAAAAAATGGAGAACAGCGATAATATGTGTAAATGCTGAGGAAGCCGAAGAGTTAAACAGATTTTTAATATCGACAAAGGAAACTCTGCTAATTCATGAAGAAATGAAATCTATCGAAATACGAGGTATAATGATATTTTATAATTAATCGGGGAAGATACCATTTTCGATCGGGGCGGACCTTGGTAGTCTAATAGTAATAGTTCTGTGTAAATTTTGTATATTTTTTTTAACTTAGCAAACTGTCTGCCGATTATTTATCGATTTAAAAAATTTTGTTGAAACAGTAAACCCACATACTTGAATCGTAATTGATTAAATTTTTTATGCTAATAAGCTTTTAAAGAACTTGTTGCAAAAATATCACCCCAGAGTTCGAACTTGAATCCCCTTTAAATCGGTAACGGATGCTAATTTGATTACTGAGGCTGGTAATTAGATTTTAATTGCATTAAGAAAGGTTTACTCTTATACTTAAAAGAGGGGATGTAAAAGTATAAATATTTTATAATTTATATGTATATGGATTAATACCACAGTATTTTTGGGTGCATGTTTTAATGAGGGTTTGTCTAAATCGTCGGAATACACTAAAAAGTCGGCGTTTTTTAATTTTATTTAACATTTAATTTACACAAATGCCCTTTAATTCTCACCCATGTGCATTCCTATACAATTTCGTATAGAGTTTATTAAATGGAAATGTAGTGCTTCTTTTAAAACTAAAACACAACTATTTTGAGAGATGTTTTAAAAACATTCATTCATCGTGAATATTTCTCGCAGTTACCTGGTAAAATGAACGATGGTCGCGTTCAGTAGAAAAAGATGCTTTGCAACTGTTGTAAAAATCCTGAATCTAATTGGCGTGTGCTCTTAATTATGGCAGAATTTAAGAGCATACTCCAATCAAATTTGCGAACTTTACAACTTTTGCAAGGCAGTTTTTTTCTACTGAACGCAGCCATCGCTTCTTTCTTCTTTCGATCTTAAAAGGATCCTTCAGCCATCTTTTTTAGCGACACAGTCAAATATTGTTTTTGAAAACCTCTTAAAAAGGTAGCAAAACATGTTTAGCAGATTTCCCTTTCAGACGAAAAATCCCTCTCTTTTATGGCAACTTTTACACTCCCTCGTTTATTGTTTGTTTAAATTAATATGTGTTTTAATCTTTTGACAATTTATAACAGATTTGTGTATTTTGCAGCTTTAAAAGAATCCTGGTTGTCATGTATATGCGGTCACTATCCAGTATTGATATGTACTGATCCAGTACTGTCTGAACTTAATTTCGTTAACATTCAATGGCTGATACATCATTCCGTATTATTGAAATTTAGAACTCAATTCAATTATAGGTTTTCTGTACTTTTAGATAATTTAGCGCAGGTAATTATTAAAATAAAATTGCTCTTCTATTTTACTAAACAGATTAAACTTACATTTAAATATTCCGCAACTGATTTTATTTTAAATTTAAGAATCCTAAAGACTGTAAAATTAATATAATTCTTGACGAGAGGAACGACGTACAACTTCCAAGCATAATAAGAATACTGAAACGAATAGATGATAAACAAATATCTTCCGAAATGGAAAACAAGATTCAGGTAAGTTGGCGAGATATGTTATTGCTCAAAGTATCAATTTTTATTACGGCTTTTAGTTATTTGTGAAATTTAATTCTAGCAAATAACAATTACATTAGAGAGGAATAAGAAAAACTATGCTTTATGTGACAATGTAAAATCGTTTGGCTCTTGCCAAGAGCAAACGCAAAATAAGTGCGTATTCAGACATTGCGTCCTTTCTGAAATCGATGCGCCAATGACGAATATACAGATGTAAGTCATTTTTCTATTATCTCGTCGTATTATTTAATTATTCAATATTTCAAAGATCTTATTCACAGAAATGACAAGGTAAAGTTGATGGTGTTATATATTCACGATACGACACATTTTTCTGCGAGAATTATTGGACACATTCCACATTCTGACAAATCGAAGAAAATAACGTACTCCAACATTGAGTACGTGCAAACTACAGCTAAAATACAAAGTTATTACGGAAAGATAGAAAATAGGTATACACTCAACGTTTCTATTTTCTTAGTATTCTTGTCCTTACATTCTCTATTTTTATGGTATACTTTCTTAAGGATGTATCGGACCTATCTTCAAAATAGTACAAAGTCGCTAAAAATTTGCGAAATTATTCTTTTAGTCTTCCTAATTTATTGCAGAAAAGTAAAAATGCATCCACTAAACGGTTGCTGAGATATAACTTTTAATTTACACTGATTTTACACGTACTCTTATGGGAAAAGCCGATCTTCACGGATAAAACAGCTAAAAAAATGAAGAAATAGTACCAGTGTTTTGAATTTTTTTATACATCTAGTATACGAATAGATGAAAATTTCTACCGAGTTTCAATAGTCTTTACTGCACCGTTTTAAAGAAATAAAATACACTGGTCAAAAAAATTAACGCAACAAGAAATTTACATCAAAATTTGGCGAATTTCAAATAAGCGTAACTTCGCGAAAACTGGTCGAATTGAAAAGTTTTTTTTTATTTTATAGGGCAAAGTCTCTGCTTTAAGAAGCTCTTATTGAAATTTGCATTCACTCTTCCCATTTCCCGGAACTTTCTCAAAATCATGACCATGTTTTTTCTCTAAAAAATTGTACACTGACGCACTGTGCGGAGT